CAAACAAACCCGATTGCCCCCCCCCCCCCCCCCACCTGCAGATTCCCCCCAACAACCAGAGAGCCCCCCTCCTTCAGATCCCCCCAACAAGAGAGCCTTCCACCCGGAAAATCCCCCAAACAACCAGAGAGCCCTTCACCTGCAGGTCCCCCCAACAACAAGAGAGCCCTCCACCTTCAGGTCACCCCAACAACCAGAGAACCCTTCACCTGCAGATCCCCCCAACAACCAGAAAGCCCTTCACCTTCAGGTCCCCTCAAAAACAAGAGAGCCCTCCACCTTCAGATCCCCCAACAATCAGAGATCCTTCCAACTTCTGATCCCCCAACAACCAGAGAGCCCTCCACCTTAAGGTCCCCCCAACAGAGAGCCCTCCACCTTCAGATCCCCCCAGCAACCAGAGAGCCCTCCATCTTCAGATCCCCCCAGCAACCACAGAGCCCTCCATCTTCAGATCCCAACAACCAGAGAGCCCTCCACCTTCAGATCCACCGACAACCAGAGAGCTCTCTACCTTCAGATCCCCTCAACAAACACAGGGACACCTAACTGCAGTTTCCCCCATCAACTAGAAAGCCATCTCCCCTGCAGATCCCCTTAGTAACCTTATAGTACACACCCCCTCCGCAGCTCCCCCAACAACTAGAAAGCCACCCCCTGCATATCCCCCAACAACCATAGACCCTCCTGGAGTTCCCCCAAACAACCAGATAGCCCCTCGAGAACCGGAAAGCTCCCCTCACTAATCCTCCCTCTCCCCCCCAACATCCTCAGCGCTGAGCCCACCTTTGCTCAGACACTTGATCACAATGCTTGCAATCGTTAGATTTATTTGTGCTCCTGGCTGGTGCCAAGTCCGCATTCCCTTCCTACCTGGTTGCCCTCATTAATATGCCTTGTTTGGCTGAGTTGATTTTCCACATTCCTGAGTTGTAGCTGAGTTCTTACCTGTTTTCTTGCGAACACGACCAGGAAAAAAAAAAACTACAGAAGAACGAGAGAAATCTGCCTCGTGGCTATTTTTATGATTAAAATTGAAGCTGAGCTGTGTAGCTTCGCGTTTGTGTCAGGCGGTCACTGGAGGTGCAGACAGCACAGAGACGGCGGAGTGCGCTCCGCGACGCCTGTCACCTGGACGCTGCATGGCGCCACCTCCCGGCGCTAACAGGACCGACGGGCCCTGAGCTGGAGAAGCTCTCATTCCACAGTGGGTGTCATACACAAAGCCATGGACAATGGGCTTAGCCTCAGGTGTGAGACGTTGACTGGTACAGGGATACATGACTGCCTTTCACCACTTGCATATTTGATATTTATACTATTTATGAGAGAGAAGAAAGAAAGAAAGAAAGAAAGAAAGAAAGAGAGAGAGATAAGAGAGAGAGAGAGAGAAAGAAAGAAAGAAAGAAAGAAAAGAAAGAAAGAAAGAAAGAAAGAAAGAAAGAAAAAGAAAAAAGAAAGAAAGAAAAGAAAAAAGAAAGAAAGAAAGAAGAAAAATTTGTCCAAAAAAACAAAGAACTAAAAGAAAGAAAAAATTATTTTTGCACATAGACCTATGACCAATGCCCTGAAAGAGAGACATAGAGGGAAGAGAGAAGAAGAGATTTTTGAGAGAGAGAGAGAGGAGATGAGAGAGAGCCCTGAGAGCGAGAGAGAGAGAGAGAGAGAGAGAGAGAGGGGAGAGAGAGAGAGAGAGAGAGAGAGAGGGGGGGGGAGAGAGATAAAATATTATTTTTGCTCATACGTATACGGCCAATGTCCTTAACTACATAGAGAACAAGAGGGAGAGAAAAAGAAAAAGAAAGAAGGAAGGAAAGAGAGAGAGAGAGAGAAAAGAAAGAAAGAAGGAAGGAAGGAAGGAAGGAAGGAAGGAAGGAAGAAAGAAAGAAAGAAAGAAAGAAAGAAAGAAAAAGAAAGAAAAAAGAAAGAAAGAAAGAAGAAAGAAAGAAAGAAAGAAAGAAAGAAAGAAAGAAAGAAAGAAAAAGAAAGAAAGTTTTTTTCAAAGAAATAAATAAGGTCAAAGTTTGTAAATATATAGAGATAGAGAGAGAGTGAGAGGGTTATGTAAAGAAAAAGAGTAATGCTAGCATGTATTGCTCTTGCTTTCCTTATTTCAAAGAGAGAGAGAGAACACTAAACTCAAGCCCAAAGCCCTAAAGCTCGTATATAAATATATAAAAAATACTTTCACCAAAAATTACTGATCTGATGATTTGACAATATTTTGGTACACTGATAAATGGGTATATTGCATTTGCTTGTAAATCAGAAGCATAGTGACTACATTGCATAGATTTAGGTGAAATATGTTTTGTAGCTTTTCATGGAGTATCTCTAAGCTATAATATCCAATAATGTTCCTACCTTGCCTTGTGGTCAATATTATTTAAACTCATGGGTTAAGCTGGACATACATGTGTAGATTTTTGGAGGAGAATATTTGTATGAAAAGTAGTACGAAACTGAATGGAAGAATGTCATTCGGAAATTGTCTTTTGCTTTTAATATTCGACTTTAAAATAATGTAATTTCTGAACAATAACCACATACATTGACCAAAAATTTGTTTGCTCAAGAAAGGTTTTCCTTCCTGCCCCTTCATATTTCCTGTCACGGCTGTGGAAAAAGAACATTGATTTAACCCCACTGACGATTAGAAAATCAAACAAATATTCTTGATGCAAATGAAAGATTGAAAATCTATACATGTATGGCCAGCTGTAGTCTGCCAAATTTGTGAATACAAAAGAAAAAAAAATAAAACAATGTATTATTTAACTTAAAAAAAAAATCAGATATATTTAATTGGTTTATATTGTTGTCTGAACATCTATTTTTTATGTATATGTCAATGCATATTTGTTTGTAAATTCAATGCAAGTAGGATCCTGTTAGACACATATTTACACAAAAAGAAGATAAATATTTGGAGAATGTAATCTACACTGTGTTGCCCTGAATTTTACTAAAATTTGGCATGTGTAACTGCTGTGTTTTCTGAGGTTTGCTAAGACAGAATAGAATTCACACTGTGTGTTTGGTTTTTTGGTTTTCTATCCACAAATGTTCTTTGCATCACTGTGACCCATTTTCCTAGCTGGAGCCAAGTCACACTTGATAATGACATGTTTGATTGTTTGCACCAACAAAACGAAAAGTGATAAAACTGCTCTTGAATGTCTCAGTGGATTCTGAACTATGAGGAATGGCAGCATTCATGTCTTGTTAAACCAGTAGTGGGAAATTGGTCGAACTGTTTCCTTCTATCTAAATAAACGTTTAGGAATTTTGTGCACGTGTAGAGCTAGATGCAAAGAATGTGTATGATTGTACTGCAACAGACTGCTCTCTGCTCAGATGGATGGGACTTTGTGACTGCAACAGGTTCAAATCATGTGAAAATGTACTAAATGACTTTACAAGTATTCAACAATATATTATGCAAAACATCATTCAAAATTCAATTTCAAAAATCTAAACAGCAACAAACATGAAGTTGTCCATTGGACCAATATGGTAGAATATAAAAAGAGAGAGAAAGAGAGGGAGAGAGAGAGAGATGGGGGGGGGGAGAGAGATAGAGGGAGAGAGAGAGGGGGAGGGAGAGAGGAGAGAGAGAGAGAGAGAGAAGAGAGGGGGGAGGAGAAAGAGAGAGAGATGGGGGGTAGAGGGAGGGAGAGAGAGAGGGGGAGGGAGAGGGGGGGTAGAGGGGGGGAGAAAGAGAGAGAGAGAGAGGGGGGGGGAGAGAGAGTCTTATGTGAGAGGCAATGCATTAAAGATGCTATTTGGTATCATGGTATATGGTACGGTATTAAAGATTGGTATTTATCAGAGTATTGCTACTGCCTATGTCAGAGTACTGTATTAGGAAATAGTACATGGCAAGGTACTAAGGGTCATTGTATGAGACAAAAGTTATTACATTGAGCATAGATAGAGTATACAGTATTAAAGTAATGTGATACATAGTAAGGTATTACATATTTATGCAGAGTATAGTTAGAATACAATGTAACATGTTAGAAGATTGTGTGTATCAGCATAATATAATAGGAAGTGTGAAACGGATCAACATATCAGAAGACAGAGAATATCTGTATAATATATCAATCTGGGATAATGTATACTGGAATAAATTATGTAATACAGCAATCTGTTAGACAGAGGATACAATATGCAGTTTTAGGGCCATTTCACAGGACATGCATTTCAGTTACTTTTTTTCTGCATCCAAAATGCACAGAAAGTAGGTTATATGGTTGTCAATGTCATAGTTCATGTCAGTGCTTGCAGTTCCAGTGCGTTCCAGTTGCAGAAAAAAAAGTAGAACATGCTGCATTTTTTTTGTACAGAACTGTACTAGAACGCAGTAAAAAGCATAAAAATGCACCAGAACGCACTGGAATGCGCCAAAACGCATCACAAATGCACTGGAATGCACATGTCTCTATTTAAATTGAAGAAAAAGAGGGGGAAAATGAAATGGAATGCATAAAAAATGCACTGGAACACGTAAAAATGCATCAAAAATGCCAAAAGCATGTCAAAAACGTGCATGCAGAATCTGAAACGCATCTGGACTGTGTTTCTATAGTGTGAACTAGTACTAAGGGCTAGTTCACACTAGATGCAGTTCACCGCACTTTTTTCTGCATCAAAAATGCATGCACAGTGTTTTCCATGTATTCCAATGGCCCTAGTTCACACCAGTGCAGTTAGTTCCAGTCAGTTTCCAGTGCAGAAAAAAAATTAGAGCATGCTGCATTTTTTCTGCACAGAACCATACCGGAACATGGCAAACTGTATCAAAACTGCACCGGAACTGCGTGTGAACTGTAAGCAAAAACATATCTGGAATGCATCCAGAGTGCATTTTTGTAGTGTGAACTGTCCCTAATATATTGATGCAACCACCACATCTAATGATTGGTAATCAGCAATATATTACATTTTGGTTTTGAGTTTATTACCAATTTAAATAGTGTGTTAGGTGAGTGAATATTAGACTGACGTAGAGGGAATTGACACTACAATAAAGTCATGTATAAAAGTCAGGATCAGGGGTGGACTGACAACTCATGGGGCCCCCGGGCAATAAGGGATCATGGGGCCCCTGTGTCCTCACCCACACTCAAACCACACCCAAAAAAGCCTATAAAAGGTACCAGGGGCATCTCATGGGGCCCCCTACTGACCCCGGGCCCTCAGGCAGTGCCTGAGTGCTCGAATGGTCAGTCCACCCCTGGTCAGGATCTATTTTAGTTATTTTCAGTATAATTAAAGTGTTACTAAACCCACAACAGTAAAATCAGTCTGTATATGCAGTAAAGCATGCTTGTTATACTCACTGTGGAACCTAAGCAGTTAATCTTCTGCATTGTGTAAAAACACTGTTTTGATCCTGTCTTCTCTGATCCTTCCCTTCTTCCAGTGTCTCCCTCTTATATCCTGATAAGACATATCATGTGGAGTCACTCTGCACATGCTCAGTGTGGTGTGTATTGCTAGACAGTTTTTTTTTTTTTTTTGGGAGAGTGCATGTGATCAGCAAAGGGCCAATCAGCACTGTTCAGACAGGGGTTATTTACTATTGTTTGTAGTTCTTTAGTATATAATCTCCAATGTAAAGTATGTTGCAGTGATGTATTAGGAGTCAGTGTATATCAGAAAAAACTATGCTCACTGCTGTGTCAAAGATGACTGTATATAAGAGAATACTGTATATTACAATGCTGTAACAGAGAATTGTGTACATTATGTATGATGTACTGCTGTTTATAGTACTTTTATTAGAGGTTGCTTTTCTTTACCCTTAAAGTGAAATGCTTCTTGTGTATCAGCTCTAATAGGGTCAGTTATCTCTCTGCTTTCTGCTGGTCAGCTTGGTGAACACACTGGGAATAGACAACAAAAAATTCTGCTTCCATTGTTTTGTAGGCTAGTCCATTTTGCTGAAATTTCTTTGCAGGAACTCAAAATGGTACTCAGTAATTTGTATGGTCCCCACATGCTTGTATGCATACCTGACAATGTTGGGACATGCTCCTAATGAGATGACGGATAGTGTCCTGGGGTATTTCCTCCCAGATCTGGACCAGGGCATCACTGAGCTCCTGGACAGTCTGAGGTGCAACCTGGCTGCATAGACCAAAATATGATATCCCAGAGGTATTCTATTGGATTTAGGTTAGGCGAGCGTGGGGGCCATTCAATGGTATCAATTCCTTCATCCTCCAGGAAACCCTGCATACTCTCGCCACATGAGGCCGGGCATTGTCGTGCTCCAGGAGGAACCTAGGACCCACTGCACCAGTGTAGGGTCTGACAATGGGTCCAAGGATTTAATTCCAATACCTAATGGCAGTCAGGGTGCCATTGTCTAGCCTGTAGAGGTCTTTGCGTCCCTCCATGGATATGCCTCTCCAGACCATCACTGACCCACCACAAAACGGTCATGCTGAACGATGTTACAGGCAGCATAATGATCTCCACGGCTTCTCCAGACCCTTTCATGTTTGTCACATATGCTCAGGGTGAACCTGCTCTCATCAGTGAAAAGTACAGGGCGCCAGTGGTGAAGTCTGTTTCTGATTGTTTGGTCAGAGACATTCACACCAGTGGCCTGCTGAAGGTCATTTTGTAGGGCTCTGGCAGTGCTCATCCTGTTCCTCCTTGCACAAAGGAGCAGATACCAGTCCTGCTGATGGGTTAAAGACCTTCTACAGCCCTGTCCAGCTCTCCTAGAGTAACTGCCTGTCTCCTGGAATCTCCTCAATGATCTTGAGATTTTGCTGGGAGACACAGCAAACCTTCTGGCAATGGTATGTACTGATGTGCCATCCTGGAGGAGTTGGACTGCCTGTGCAACCTCTGTAGGGTCCAGGTATCACCTCATGCTACCAGTAGTGACACTGACCCTAGCCAAATGCAAAACTAGTGAAAAAACAGTCACAAAAGATGAGTAAGGAAACAAATGTCAGTGGCATCCACCTATAAAACTGTTTCTGTTTTGGGGGTCATCTCATTGTTGCCCATTTAGTGCACCTGTTGTTAATTTCATTAACATCAAAACAGCTGAAACTGATTAACAACCCCCTCTGTTGCCTCTGATTGAAAAGTGTTTATTACATTTTTTGAGCAGTGTAGACACAAATAAATGCAGTCCTGTAATCATTAATACATCAATTTTCTGAATGCAGTCAGTGTACAAATTTGAATTTGACCTGGTATCAGCCTCTGTTAGTCCCTGTACAGCAGAGCTCAGACAGGATGGTGAAGCAGCACAAGCAGCCAATCAGTTCATGTGCTAAAAAGAAGCATACTGATAGGAGGAGAAAACAGAGTGACAGAGAGAACAGCTCATCTTTAAATATTGCAGCAAGAACTGCGTTTGTTACTTTAGAACTGGCTATTCATTTTATATTGATATTTGGATTGGAATTCTGCTTTAAACCCAAGATCTACATTTAAAATGAAAGGTTTCCGGAAGGAAATGTATCTTTAGGTTAAAGCAGCCCCTATTACCAGACCATTCATTTCATTCTCTATGATTATATGAGCAATGTATTTTGCACATGTTGTTTATCTGTAGAAGGCTCCCTTTTGTATGTTTTAAAATACTACTACCAGGCACTGCCATCTTAGATGTGATGTCAGAAGCCCTAGCAGACTCGGAGCTGTCATTCAAGTGACACTCTAAAACATTCCCCTTCACCCTTCCCCCACTGCTACATAAAAGCTTATGTAGGGTAGTAAGGTAAGGGGTGGAGGAGCTGGGCCAGCACAGACAGTAGACACTTCCAGATGAGGAGAGAGTTACGACAGGCAAGAAGGGAGGGGACTTTGCTAGGGAATAGACTCCTCTGAAGTTATTACATTTGCTAGCAAGTTCATAGGCACATTGCAAGTGAATAAGACATCATTAGTGGAAAAGAAAGAATAGGTGAGCATATCCTAGATTGTAAGCTCGAAAGAGCAGGGCCCTCGAATCCCTCGTGTATTGTATTGTTACTGTCTTGTCTCATGTTCTGTCCCCCTTGCTACTGTACAGCGCTGAGCAAACCCTTTGGTGCTATATAAATACTGTATAATAATAATACTATCAAATATTAGATTTTTTGCTGTGCTTTTACCAGCAAATTTTTAAGTTGTCTTTTTCAAGGAAATTGAAGAATGTAAGCTGTTTCATACAGTTTACACTTCTTGTGTGATGTATGCTAATTAGTAGAGTCAAAAGACTTATTGATTGGTAATTGTAACATTGGATTAGACTGTGTTTGTGTGTGACAGTGTGCAGTTCACATTGTGTTTGATCTGGAATGGATCCCAATAATTATTAATAAAATACATTTCTGACAAGCCTGCATACACTTAGCGTGCTTGGTTGGTAATTACCACAGTGACAGGGAGAAGAGGCAGCAGGTTGGAATACCCAGAAGCAGGTAAGTGTCCCAGTGGTGGGCATACATTCTTTCATAACAGAAATGCAGGGCTGAGCTTTAGTAATAACTCATTGCACTGCCAAAGAGTTAGTGTTATTTCCATAGTGGAGTACCAGACACTTTGCTAATTCTGCTATGGGGAGTCTGAAGTCCTACATTGGTGTTTGCCTACTGAACTACTAGGGATGGGTTTTTGTCTTTACACAATGGCTAGAAAAGTTTTGGAAATCATTGTATTCAATATGAACAATCAGAATTTTTTCCTCACCAGCAGAAATTTTGTTTTTATTTTCATATTGGGTTACCATGAATGGTCACTTTTACATTGGACTTCTGGGACCTTTGGACATCTTTGGAATAGGATTGGATATTTTCATAATGGACATTGTAGACCCAAGTTTTGGCTTAATCCCGTAGATGGTGGACCACCAGTTTCAGGGCAAAAAACCTTTACTCACGGGTAGGGGCGGACTGACAACTCATGGGGCCCCGGGCAATAGGGGATCATGGGGCCCCTGTGTCCTTGCCCAAACTCAAAAAAGCCTATGAAAAAGGTACCAGGGGCATCTCATGGGGCCCACTACTGACCCCGGGCCCTAAGGTAGAGCCCGAGTTTCCAAATGGTCAGTCCGCCCCTGCTCACGGGTCTATCAAAAACTAAACATTGCTCTTGCCCTACTTTTTTTTTAAGGATGACAGTGGCCTTCCAGAGATCTGGCCTTAATATTACCAATGTGAAACACAAGACACATATTTATCTGATCCATGGTTGACCATAGTTGACCTCTGGAAACTTGGCTTTAAATTTACATAGTTAGATTATGGGATGGGCAATATATTTTCCACATATGACTGCCAATAACATGGTACAATACATGCTAAACTAAAAAATATTCTTCAAAACAAAGAACAGCAAGGTAGGTAAAAATGGGAAAGTCCCATCAAAAATTACATTTAGGAAAGCTTTACGATATAACTCAAAATTCTTTGCTCAGTGAAAATACACTGGGGGATATTTACTAAAACTGGAGTGCACAGAATCTGCAATCAACTTCTAGGTTTTATTGTCAACTCTTAATTGAAAAATATGAAGATTGTTGGCCATCTATGGCCCAAACCACACTAAAGCCGTGGTCAGGGATTATCCACCACAATTAAATCCAGCATGGACCGAGGCAACATGAATAGTGGACACCGCCAGGAGGAGACTGCTTTTAATATCTATCCAAGGCCTTTATTCATGTTGCCTTGCTCCATACTGGATTTCATTGTAGTAGATAATCCATAATATCCTGAACACAGCTTCAGTGTGTTTTGGGCCATAGATGGCCAATAATCTTTGACTCCTAAGTCTTGGATGGTGTTCACACTGTCTCTAATTCCCTTCTGGTTTTCTTACTACGGTATTCTGTTAAGCTGCATGGGCAGTGTGCCTAGATTGTGTGCCCACTATTTTACCCTCCGTGTCCGCTGTGAGGGAGGTATGTTGGAGCCCCTTTGTAGCCCTTTATGAGCATGAGTCCACATTGAGTAAACTTTGACTTTTCCTCCCGAAGAAGTTGACAATATCCACGAAAAATGTAGAGGAGCAAGCATCACCCCCCCAGGTTTCTATCACTTTAGGGGTGAGAAATTACAGTACCTGTGACTTATGTACTTTATTGTACCATGTTGTCAATTCATGTTGTTTTAAATATTAATTCATGTACATGTCAAAGAAGCTTTTAATTTTCTGTACCAGTAAATATATTACTTTTATGTTATCCTAGATTGTAAGCTCGAAAGAGCAGGGCCCTCAATCCCCTCATGTTTTGCATTGTATTGGTATTGTTCTGTCCCCCTCTGTAATGTACAGCGCTGAGCGAACTATTGGCGCTTTATAAATACTGTAATAATAATAATAATAATAATAATAATGTTATTGTGTTGTTAATGAGTACCGAGATAGTCCATTTACTCTAATTTGGGGTCATTCCCATTCAATCTTCATATAGTAATTTCGGATGATGGTACCCCCATCCCCCCTTTCTTAGGTGTATTTACTCTTGGAGGCATTCTATTTAATAAGCTTAATTGAACAAGCTGAAGTTAGAAGCTGATTGGTTACTATGAACAGCTGCACCAGATTCTGAGTGTGTCAGTTTTAGTAAATCTCCTCCATTGCGTTCTCCTTTAAAACAAAGGGGTATCACATTTGCCGAAGTGCTGATGGGTGTATTCCTTTAAGTTAATATCTGTGGGGTTAATGTCCCAGCTGCATCGATATTACTTAATGTCAGAAAGCTGAGAACACATGAAGTCATGTCACCCATCCCTCGCAAGGTGTTTCGAGTGCTTTAATATTTGTCATTCCATGCATTGTTTACTCTCTTGCACAAGTGGATTAACCACTCCAATCCTTCTTGGCTCATATAGGGCTCTTAAAGTGAAACTCCAACTTTACACACCCTAAACAAAAAGTAAGAATTGAAACTAACAACAGTCCCATGTGTTGTGTTAGACTTACGCATTTGTTAAATCAGAGCTTTAGACAAACAGATAAATCCACAGCAGAATGACATACATAAAAACTATTTTATCTGTCATGTGATTCTGTTTAGCCAGCTCTGTGATTTGCAGACCTCTGCCACTTTGTACAGGCAAGCAATTGATGGCACTGTTTAATGGTGTAGCTCTAGTGCCTCCCTTGTCCCCCAACTGAGCACAGTGCCCCCTTGTCCCCCAAATGAGCACCACTGCCCCGTTGGTACTGATCACTCAGTGTGTTCATTCAAAACTGAAGCATAGTAAACTATGTTTACTATGCTTCAGTTTATGAATGAACAGAAAGCCACTCAGAACTGAGCACTTTCCATTAATTCGCGGTCCAGTGCAGCTGAGGCTGCAGATAAGGGACTGGGGAACCTGTCCTCAGTCTCTTTCTCTGTCTCAAAAGTGAGACTTCAGGGGTCTGTTTAGACCCCTGATATTTCACCAAAGCTCCCCAACAGGGTTCCTAAAAAAACTGTAAAAAAAATAAATATAAAAAACTACTGACACCGTCCACTGCCCTACTAACACAAACCTCTGCCCTACTGATGCTGTCCTTTTTGGGGGTGTGGGGGGGGGGGGGGGGGGGTGCCAAACTAAGTCTTTGCCAACTTCCCCACTGCTTAAAGTGATCCTATTATTTATGTGGATACTACGGGAGGCTTCTCCAGGGCTTTCATAATCATTCTAGTTTAGCAACCTAGAAGGACACTAAGTTGAACTAAGCACACAGGAAGGGAGTTTAGACTTTTCCTGGTTCACTGGCTGCATGCTTGTTCCATTCTAGTGACTAGGTAAAGAGTGCAGGATCAGGTTGACAGCTGTGCAGCCTGCATTTGAAACATGTCAGCAATAGTTGTTTTATATTTCTATTGATGCAAATCCTTTCAAGCCAATCCTTGGAGTGCCCTTCACACTTAACCATCCCCTTGCCTGACCCTCCCAACCTTTTGAAATTATATAGAGGGACACTTTTCAGCACACAGTATGTAGGCAAGGAACACGTCCTTGTCACATCCCTGGTTACATGGACCACAAAGATGTAAAATAATTGGCTAAACCACACAAGTGCTTTTTGATATCTAAATTTCCTTTAAAGCTATATTGATTTTTCAAAATAAAAAAATGCAGTAATATAGAGGTTGGATAAAAAGGTTAGTGGAGAAAAACACTTCTGGTACTAAACTAGTACATTTTTATGGAGAGGTATTATTATTATTGTACAGTATTTATATAGCGCCAAAGGGTTTGCTCAGCGCTGTACATTAAAGTGGGCGACAGTACATGAGACAATACAGTAACAATACAATACACAAGGGGTTTGAGGGCCCTGCTCTTTCGAGCTTACAATCTAGGAGGGAGGGGGTAGAGGTACAGGAGGAAGTGGCTGTGGGGGATGGAGTGGTAGGAGGGGTGGAGGAGAACGGCTGTTAGGTGATGGTGGGGTAGTCTTACCTGAAGAGGTGGGTTTTCAGGGTGTGCCTGAAGGTGAGGAGGGTAGGTGACAGTCTGATGGATTGGGGTAGTGAGTTCCAGAGGATGGGGGAAGTCCTGGAGAAGTCCTGCAGTCAGCTGTGGGAGGAGGAGACCAGGGAGCTAGAGAATAGGATGTCTTGTGAGTAGCGAAGGGCACAGGTAGGGTGGTATTTGGGTGTCAGGTCAGTGAGGTAGTTTGGGGCAGCGTTATGAATGGCTTTGTATGTCAGAGTTAGTCATTTGAATTTAATGCGTTGGGCAATACAATCAGATCAAAAAGAGGGATATCTGAGGCTGCACGAGAGCAGAGGGATTTGGTCTCATAAGAGGGACAGTCCCTCCAAATGAGGGACTGTTTTGAGCTAAGCCTAACACCTTACAAAACCCACATAAAAAACACTTTATACCACCCAAACAATCAACTCTTAAGTCACCCCTAAAACTTAACCCTTAAAGTGGCTGTAAACCCTTACATATACCTAGTGAAGTGACTGGCCTCAGGTGATACACAAAGATTACACAAATCCTCTTAAATAAATTGTGCAGATTTTACAAAGCTTGTACAAGCTGTAAGAAAAAAAGGGGGCATAGAGCTGAATTTATACTCCGCAGAGCTCAGTGAGGAGAGCTCTGAGAGCTGATTGGAGGGCAGAGATACCCCCTCCCCTTCACACAGCACACAGGAACAGAGCTCAGGATGTCAGTCACAGGCTGTGCCTCCCATGTTACCATTTTTTTCTTGGTGTCAGGAAATCCTGTCAGAATTAATTTATGTTGATAGCAGAGGAACAAAGCAGCAGACAGAAATGACACCTAATGCTCTGGATCGAGACAAGTACACACTATAGAGAGATATGCTTTGTTCATATTCCAGGATTGAGGTTTGCAACCACTTTAATTCACTTCCTAACCTAATCCATAGTTCCTGACCTTTGACTTTAACAGGTTAACAGTCCTTAGAGGTGGTGGCTGTGTTAGTTTTTTTTTCAGGCTCTTTACTTTATTATCATCTGTTGATCCTGCCAGCAGCATACTTCCAGTCCTAGAGGGACAATGCTTAATCACTGTACTGTTTCTATAGGGGAGCAACTTCCAGTCCTAGAGGGACAATGCTTAATCACTGTACTGTTTCTATAGGGGAGCAACGTCCAGTCCTAGAGGGACAATGCTTAATCACTGTACTGTTTCTATAGGGGAGCAACGTCCAGTCCTAGAGGGACAATGCTTAATCACTGTACTGTTTTTAGGGAGCAACGTCCAGTCCTAGAGGGACAATGCTTAATCGCTGTACTGTTTCTATAGGGGAGCAACTTCCAGTCCTAGAGGGACAATGCTTAATCACTGTAATGTTTTTTATCAGAGCAACTTCCAGTCCTAGAGGGACAATGCTTAATCTCTGTACTGTTTCTATAGGGGAGCAACTTCCAGTCCTAGAGGGACAATGCTTAATCACTGTACTGTTTCTATAGGGGAGCAGCACTGTTACCCTAGGTCAGGACTATCTGTCATTAAATGGACTTTTTGAGAATGTTTTTTCTACATCTGTACTGTGCTGTCTACCTGTGATGCACTCTTACTAATATCATTGTACCCAGCTCTCTCAGTGGACCTCAGAACACCTCCTGCTTTTTGTTATGGAGGAGAATGGGGTGTTCTGTAGTTCGCAGAGA